CTTCGAGGAAGAAAGTGTCTAAGTGTTCGCCTTCGAGGACGTAAGTGTCTAGGTGTTCGCCGTCGAGGAAATGGGTTTGTTTGTAAGAAACGTCGTCGTCGTCGTCGTCGTCGTCATTATTGCCAGCTACGGAGTGAGGAAATGCATTCTGGAATTTTTGGCGCAAGAGATAAATGTGGTCGCGACAATATCGATCGCTGCGATCTGTACGATCGTTAAAGTCGGATTATTAATGCCATTCTACATAAGACGCAGAACACAGTTCGCAGGTCGCAAGACTAGACGCAGCGTGACGTATTTCCGGTCGTTACAAGTCGCAGGCCGCAATACGCAGGACGCACAAAAGTTGACCGAACTTCAACTTTTCGCGTCCTGCGTCGAGCGTTGAGCCAATCAGAACGTACATGCGGCAAGCGGTTTCTCGTACGATCAGCGGCGCAATGCTTGAACAACATCGAGTGCATTTGAGGTTTAGTATTCCATAAAAAATGGTATATAATTGGGATTCCGCGACAACACGAGTATTAATAAACATAGTACAAAAGAATCCTAGTTTATATGCTAAAAGTTGCAAAGTGTATAAAAATCAAGAACAAAAAAATTTGGCATGGATGGAAGTGAGGAAGATTCTTCGTCCTCCCTGTCCTGGTAAGTATATTTTTGGGTGCTTCCCAACAAGAGACATAGATGACATCGAATTCTGTCTGTCAATCTTAAAGATGAAATGATCATTGTTTTAGACATTCTGGTCTAGGAACACATTGTGTCATTGTGTTAACAAATGTGTCTTTACAATTGGAAAACATCTCTTGATCATTCAAAGTTTATACACAAAAAATTAAAATTTTTATTATTTAAAAAAAATTTACTTTATTAACTATAAAGATTAGTATACTTTTAACTCTAATTTTACAGAGACTATTTCGCCCATACAACTTAACCTCTAATCTTAAAACAATAGTTTAATTTATATTGCATTTTTTTTATTTAGGAGAAGAAGTAGCCAGAAAATTTAAATCATTTCGAGACATATTTTCTAAAGAAAGGAGGAAAATGATGAATGCACAACCTAGGTCTGGAGCTGGTGCTACTACTGATTATAAATCCCAATGGGATTTTTATTCAGATTCACTTTTCTTAGTAGACCACATTGAGCCAAGAAAGTAAGTTTTTCTTTCTGTTCTTAAAAAAAATATATATACAGGTTGTTTCATATTAACTGAATTCTCTCTTCAAGTATATACATTTAGTTTAAAGTTTATTTTATGTTGTAAAATATTTTTTTATCTTAGGACTTACTCGAATATGTCATCATCAAAATCATATATGCAGAGTTTAGCACAAGCTGAATGTAATGGGAAAAACAAAAATGAAACATATATTGCGCCAGAATTGAGCACAACAATAGTAAAAAATGATATAATGACTAGTGTCATCCAAAAGTTTCCTATAAATGTAGACATGGTATCAGAAGCAATTAATTCTATTAATACTGCATCTGAATCTTATGATATATCGATCGATTTACCATCAGATATAATTATAGAAGATTTAACAGAATCTTCAGGTAAGAGAAAAAATGCTATTTAATATTTATTTTAATTTAATTTATTTTAATTATTATTATTTAATTATTTCATTAATTTTATTTTATTTATTTTATTTTAATTTATTTTAATTCATAATTTCTTTGTAACTCTAGTAACAAGTGATACTGCATCAGATACGTCGTCATATATCAGGTAAAAAATAAAACGTGAGAACAAGGTACCCCCAAGCGACATAATGCATAAAAAGAAGAAAACTGAGTCATTAGACTCAATAACAAATAATATTACCGCTTTTGCGAACATAGCCAGTAATTGTATGTCAGAGTTAAACCAAAAGAAGGAGAATGAGACTGATATGTTCAAAAGTTGCATTACAAAATACTCCAGAAGATTCAAAAATATCATTCATAATAGATATACTGCGCATTAGCGAAATATATCGAAAAGGCAAGAAACCATTAATAACAGAAGTTGAGAAACTATAATTTTATTCGCTGTAAGTTATACTTATAAGTATTTAAATTTGGCTTACAGCTTTTTGTTTTCTGCCTCTTATTCTTTATCACTTTTAAAGATTAAATATAATTAACAATATGTATAATAAGTATAATAATATATTATTTTACATTAAAAATAAGGAGGCAATACTTTTTTTAATATTACGTGATAAATATTGTTTCATTAATTTTGAACATTCCATGTGTTACATGTTTTATTTTAATTTTATGAGCAGTAACAAATACGTTGAAGATATGTATATATTTAATACATGTTAAAATTATATTATACATGTTAAATACATTTAAGTTCCCCTACATAATATATAAAGTTTATGTATACATATATACGTATTGTCAGGCCTCAATAGCCTACAGCTGTTAGGTATACAGGTACGACCTTACTTGATTTAATAAAGAGATATTTGATTCGGTTACTTACGCATGCTGTGATTTCTATAACTATAAGACTTTCATTTCCTTTCTTTTCCTTTCTCTCTCGCTGCTCCTCTTTTTTTTTGCTGGATGGTCTACGAACATCCGACGTCAAGTTTTTTTTTTGGCATATGTTTGCCATATCAAGTTATAATTTACATCGAGCACTTGATACGGGTACTAACTAGTTACTTTCTATTAAATTATCTTAATTTCAGCAATGTATTTAAAGATGTATAAAATTGATACAATACGCATCAAAATGTTTAACTAAATACGTTTATTGTGTATACATTTACATATATCGCTGAAATTAAGATAATTCAATAAAAAGTAACTAGTTAGCACTCGTATCAAGTGCACACGATTTAAACTAGACCATTGATTCTGTTGGACTTGGAGGAAAGAAATGAAAAAAAAAAACGTTTTTATGTGTATGTGTGTGAGATAGAGAAAAAAACACAAATACAATTTCTTTATAAATTCACATTACCGTGGCAAATTAATATCTAATCCTCTGAAAACATGATTGTACTGCCATGGTACCTGTGCTTCTCCAATAGGTGAGAGAAAGTAATCTTTTAAAATATCACGTTGTTCTGTTGCTCTTCGTGACGCATTATTGCTCCCAAAACGTGTTATATCGTTAAGTACAACATTATTTCTTATGTTATTACGCCATTCTCCACTTTCTTGATCCATATCATCAACGAAATTAGGAGGACAATACAATCGCGGATTAGACATACTCATTTCTTCCTCTGTGATCATAATAAAATTGTGTAAACATATCAAAGCTTTGACAATAGCAATAGCATTTTCGGGATTAAGACATAAAGTACTGTGAAGAATTTGCCATCTCGCTGCAAAAATGCCAAATGCATTCTCAATTACTCGTCTTGCACGACTCAGACGATAGTTAAAAATGCGTTGTGCATCTGTCAGATTGTCTTTCGAATATGGGCGTAACATATATAGCTTCAACGGAAACGCCTCGTCGCCAACGAAAGCATAATGTGTTGCAATATTCGTATCTGGCAAATTTATTGGTGGAGGTATGTCGACCAAATCTTCTTCGAAAGCTTTGGCAAAATCCGTATTATTCCATATACCTCCATCACTGATTGAACCTTAAGATAATGTATGCAACATTATAGTTTGTATAAAAAAATATTTAATAAAAAAACTGAGTATGAATATGTATTTTATATTTTTTTACCATAAGACGATATGGCATACACTAACGAAGAATATTACGACATGCTGATGGCACTTGGCGCTGGATTCGCCCACCGGGTACATCCTCGAGGTGGATCTCGAGTACCCGCAACATCTTCACGACGCGCACGCCGACCTGCCGTTCCGCCCGACGCGAGAGAAACCGCCCGGCAAGCGGGACGACAAGCTTCTCGCGACGGTAAGCGACAAGCAGCGGTACGTCGTCCACTACCGCAACCTCCAACAGTGTTGCGATTCGCGCAATCCGCCTGGCTCCGCGACTACATCGAACTTGTACGCGCTATGCACGTTTTCACTTTTGTATTTTCGCTCGCTTTGCTACGCTCCCTCCTTCTGAAAAGAGCGCTACCTGCGTTCCCCTTCTCCTCAGCGTTCGCTTATCAGCGTTCGTTTCTGCGTTCGTTTGCGTTCGTTCGCTTCCGTATCTGTTCGTTCGCCACTTCCGTCTTCTTCTTCCTAGTTCGTTTTCGTCCAAGCATGCAGCAGCATGATTTTTCTTTACGCTTATTATATAGTCGTTTAAGTTTGCACTAGTTCACCTTCTGTGTTCTACGCTTGTCAAGCATGCACATGCATGAGTTTAATAAGAATAAATAAGTATCATTATCAACTATGTTTTCGTGTTGCTTCTTGCCAACACTGGTCCTTCGAGCATTATCACACGCTGCATCAAGCATAGCCAATTAATACTTGAGCCACAAGGCTTTCATAAGAGAAAATAGCGCTACACATAGCGCATAGAGGCACAAGCCCGCACATTTGGTCCTTCGAGCCGGATACAGGATAACAAGGAATCCGTCCCAGCGATACAGAGGGTATAACCTGAAATTCATTCAAATTCTCATTCGAGCGTGCTCATAAGCCGCAAGCACAAGCATAAGTAATCTTTAGGTAAGATTGTTTCATTCACTCAAGGTAAGATAGCCATATTGCATGCGTCTTCACATTTGACCGCCATATTGGCTTTTCATTTCTCGAAACTTCGTTACACATACGTTCTCACATATACGTATATCTTCATATGCACACGCATGCGCTTCCTTTCACAATAAAGGGCATTATTCTCAATTCACTAACGATAACGTAAGAATCATAAGCATGGATTCGATATCATTGACCGAGGCCAAAACTAAACGCACAGCCGCAAAGGCTTCTCTAACCCGACACAAGTCTGCCATAGAAAGCTTTGACGCGAATCATGGATCGCGCCATGACATTATTGAACGCAAAAAAAGAATATTGGAATTATGGAATCTTTTCGACGTAGTACAATCGCGAATAGAGGTTCTTGAGAATGAAGAAGATTTATCTTCTCAAGATTTAGATCTATTAAACGCTCAACATGAGCAACACCGAGCAAGCTTCGAATCAACATACTTTAGCGTAATCTCACGCTGTGAATCCTTACTTGAGCATTTTGATCAACATAACATTAGGCTTTCTTCGGGATCTTTTAGCACGCCAGGCGCTAATTCGTCTGCCCGCAGGGAAGCGCATGTTAAGTTACCTAAAATCGAGCTTCCAGTGTTTTCAGGTTCCTACGAGGATTGGTATTCTTACCATGATATGTTTGAACAATTAATCCACAACAACCAAAATTTATCCGAGATAGAGAAATTCCATTATTTGCGATCTTCCCTCAAGGACAAGGCCGCTGAAATAATAAAGTCAATTGAAACTACCACCGACAATTATAAGGATGCCTGGAACGCTATTAAGGAACGATTTGACAACAAACGGTGGATATTACAAAGGCACATCAAGGCCATTTTCGAAATTGCTCCAGTAACGAAAGAAAATCATGCTCAGTTACGTGAATTATTAGATACGATTTTAAAACATTTGCGCGCTCTCAAAGCCATGGGAAGACCCACGGATACTTGGGACGATTTAATCGTTCATCTTATAATTTCGAAACTTGATACGGTTACTACCAAGGCTTGGGAAACAAGCATTCCTGATATGGAAATTCCCACACTAAAATCACTGACTGATTTTCTTTCAAAACGTTGCATCGCGCTTGAAGCAATTTCTAGCAAATCCTCAATCAATCAATTTGCAAAGGCAAAGAATTGTTCGGTTTCTAATCTCGCGACTTCTAATTTATCTTGTCCTAAATGTAAGGAAAATCATCCGCTTTACTATTGTGAAACATTTCTCAAATTACCAGTAGAAAGCAGAATCGCCTTTGCAAAGAAGGTTCATTTATGTCTAAACTGTTTGAGATCTAATTCTCATCAAGCTAAAAATTGCACTTCAAGCTCTTGTCGCAAATGTAAAGGTCAACACAATACACTTTTACATTTGTCAAAGACAGCAGACGCTAACGAGTCGTCTAATGCGAAAGCAGCTGTGGCTTCCGATACAGAAACTTCTGCGAAGCCAGTTGCAACACAATGTTTATCTACTCATCAATCTCTAGGAATTATATTATCAACAGCTATTATTCATGTATTTGACTGTAATAAACACATCCATTCGTGTCGTGTATTGTTAGATAGCGGATCACAAATGAATTTCATTACGCAGAGTCTTGCCGACAAATTGTACCTCAATAAAAGGCAAATAGAGATATCTATTTCAGGTGTAACTAATGCTAACATTCGAGCCAATCAATCTACAGTAGTACATATTAAGTCGCGGTTCAACAATTTTAGCGAGAGGATAGAATGCGTTGTTTTGCCAAAAATCACGCAACAATTGCCTCAAAAATTCATTTCCAAGCAGAATATAACTATACCAAATAATTTAAAGTTGGCCGATCCTGATTTTAATGTTCCCGCTGACATTGACATGCTAATCGGCGCTGAGATATTTTGGAAGCTCATTTGCGCAGGTCAAATTAAACCTTCTAGAAATAAACCAACACTGCAGAAAACTCTCTTGGGATGGATTTTATCTGGTCCGACATCAAGTATTCCTAGTAACTCCAGTTCTTCAATCATCAGTTGTTTAGCTGTAACAGAAGACTTAAATCATGCTCTCAGTCGTTTCTGGGAATTGGATCATTCGATATCCGCTTCAACTCTTTCTCCAGAGCACCAATCTTGCGAGAATCTATTCAAGGACACTGTCAAACGCAACAGCGATGGACGCTTCGTGGTCCAGCTACCGATCATACCTAACAAGCTATCTGAACTCGGTGAATCAAGGGAAATAGCCACTCGCCGCTTCAAATGTTTAGAGAAACGCTTTGTTACCTCTCCTAAATTACATGCAGAATACAAAGAATTTATACAAGAATACATACAACTTGGTCATATGCGTGAGGTCACTCACATTACAAATAATGACAGCCAAACATATTACCTACCGCATCATGCCGTATACAAAGAAACGAGTACTTCTACCAAACTAAGAGTGGTTTTTGATGGTTCTTGCAAAACAACCACTGGAATCTCGTTAAATGATGCATTATTGGTAGGCCCCACTATACAAGATGATCTGCTTTCAATATTAATAAGATTTCGTATGTACAGATATGTCATGACTGCAGATGTGGCAAAGATGTACAGACAAGTTTTAATCGATCCGAATCAAACCTCTCTGCAACGCATTCTTTGGCGTGACTCTTCGGATCAACCCATTCAAACATTCGAGCTTCTGACCGTCACGTACGGTACAGCATCTGCTGCCTTCCTAGCCATTAGATCGCTCAGGAAATTAGCTGAGGATAACTCTGAGAAGTATCCCGTTGGATCCGGGACAGTTTTAAACGACTTTTATGTTGATGACTTGGTCACCGGCGCTGACAATTTACAAGATGCCTCCTCCATCAAGATTCAGACAAGGCAATTGCTTCTTGAAGGTGGTTTCGAGCTACGCAAATGGTTCTCTAATGTACCTGATCTTCAAGACGATCAACTTTCCAATCCTGAAAAGGAATTCGTACTATCTTCCGACAAGGAATGCGAAACAAGGACACTGGGTCTTGTGTGGAACTGCACCCATGATCACTTCCAATTTTCTAGTATCTCCTGTCTGCCACCTTTGGCTACGCCTACCAAAAGGCAAGTACTATCAAGAGTCGCTTTGGTTTTTGATCCTCTCGGACTTTTTGGACCTGCGACTGTCATTGCTAAAATCATTATTCAACAACTCTGGCTCCTCAAGATTGGCTGGGATGAAGCTCTTCCCTTGGATTCAACCACTAAATGGAAACGCTACGAGCGTGAGTTGCCAATTTTGAGAGACATGACTATTTCACGACGCGCTATCGCGCTAAGTGAACATATCAACTTAGAGCTCCATGGCTTCTCTGACGCCAGTGAACGAGCTTATGGCGCGTGCATCTATTTACGTGCCACTGATGCTCACGGAAACATTTCAATTAGATTGCTCTGCTCTAAAAACCGTGTAGCTCCACTCAAGAGTTTATCAATTCCGCGCTTGGAATTATGCGCAGCCCTCTTGTTGGCTCAGATCACCGACAAGATTTTGAAACGTATTACTCACAAATTTACATCTATTTATCTGTGGACCGACTCCACCGTAGTTTTAGCCTGGCTGCAATCATCTAGTCGTACATGGTCGACATTTGTCTCCAATCGTGTTGGCGATATCCAACAATTAACCACTATACAAGACTGGCATCATGTATCCAGTCAGGACAATCCAGCTGATCTTTTATCCAGAGGCATATCTCCGGCTGCATTGCCACATGCGCATCTTTGGTGGTCGGGGCCCGCTTGGCTGAAACTTGACAAGGGGCAATGGCCTCAATTTCCATTCACTATCAACAAACGAGATATACCTGAATACAAATCTTCTGCTATCACATCAGCTACTGCTACGCTGCCATACTTTGATATTTTC